CGCGGATGTCGCCTGGGCCCTGGGGACCAGCGCGTGCCCTTGGACACCTGAGCGCGAGCCGTGCCGGCCGCGTTGGCCCTTGCTGCCCCGCAGAAGAAGTTCCCGCTGAGCCGAAGCGGTCTGAAGGGCCAAGTGACGCTCTGGCAGGGGAGGTGGCTGGGGCTTCCAGGAGCACCGAGCAGAGAATATTTATGTGGGAAGAACGTCACAAAAAATATCGAAAAAGGACTGGAGATGGGCAGTGTGGGGCTTGAGCAAAGAGGGCTCCTACGCAGGCTACTGAAGGAGCAGCAGTTGAACCCGCGGAGCTCGCGGTGACGGCGAGCGCACAGCGATGGGCAGCAGGCGGGCGCGCTGGGGCCTGGGTGTGCGGCTTTGGCCTTGTCACGAATCTTTTGCTTGGCTGCAGTCGAGGGAGGGTTGGCTGAAAAGTTAGGGAAATAGCGATCGTATGCCTCGCTTATTAGAAAACAGTTTTGTTCCCGTAACTCTTACAGTATTAGTAAAACAAATAAACGCAGAACTTAAATAATGGAAAATTTTCAGACTTTGTTTTACCGTAAATCTTTTTTGTTTGTTCCCTGTCAGGTTTTATTTTGTTACGTTAAAACAGTTGAATTATCTGAGTGGTGTAGAAAGTCTAATTTATCTTGTATAGCATCTCCTTTTCCACCCCACCTACAGCCTTTTGTTTTCAGAATAATGTAAAAATCGTGGTATAAACTGCTAATCAGCATTTTGCTTCAGCAGGCTCCCCAACAGGTCCTCATTCTGCTGTTACAGGGCAGAAACACTTGACTGTGATAGTCACGTGTAAGGGAGATGCCTGGTAGGAGTAAGTGCTGAATAATCATGAGTCAGCTTTTTTGTCTAGTTAAGCAACTTCTTGTCTGTCAGGTGGTTGCTCCTGTTTCATCAGTTCAGTGGCACTCTGTGTAGTGTTTAAGTGACTTTCTGGGGTTTCTTTCCGAGACTAGCTCTGTTAATGAAACTTCTCAAGGCACACAAACTTTGTTTGCTGGGAAATAATGAACTTTAGCATGTGACGTTCTGCAGTAGGCAATCTGTTTTGCACTCTTCAAGCTGTGTTCACCAAATTAGTTTTTGAAAAACAATTGGTTACAGATTCTTTAATTCTTCAAGTTAGGTGTCTTACTTAAATACTCAGGATTTTTTAAGCCTAACTTTTAAAATTCATTTTAAACTTCGAGAGCTGATAAATTTGGGGGCAGCCAGGGTTTTGTTTTGATGGGAGAGAGGGTTTGCTTTGTTTGTTTTGGTTTTAACTAATTTTATCAACAGTTGTGAAACTCAGTAGGTTACCTTTTCAGTAACCCTTTGTCATTCCACCAGAACTAACTTAATGAAGTTTACTGTGTGTCCTTGTCTTCTGTACTGTCCTGTATGTATGTAAATTGGAGTATATCATAATTTGAATGTGAAACAGCTAAATAGTATGTTGAATTCGGAATTTTAAGGAGTGCCATTCTGTAAGGCTTGCATTTCATGCCAACAGACTTCAGCACGCTCCTAAGCTGGGCCCTCTTTCAGGTTCAGAGCTTGTCTAAGTAGGCTTTCAGATATAGTGAGGAAAAGGTGATGACAGCTTTGTTCTTTTTAACAGAAATACTGCGCTGAATAAAGTACCAAAAGCTGAAAATACGGTGGGCATGACATTTTTCTTGCAAAAGTATGTAAACCTCTTACCTTACTTCTTGCATTTCAGATCAATTCAAATGCCTCCTTAACTGTGTCTTTGGCACAGACTCCTTACTGCAAGAAGCACAGATACGATCCCCAGAATCCCCTCTGTGCCCACATAATCTTCTGTGGGAGTATTGTAAAGGTAAGCAGCTGGAAGTTGACACGGGACAAGATTGCGTCTATCAAATAGTATTATTTAGTGGATGGAGAAGAGGAACTTTAGAATTTCTGTGCGAAAGTGTACGAAGAGCTGTTATGTGCTGTGATACCAGAAGGCTAGCTTATAGTTTGTGTGAGGAAAACGAACTTGCCACTGAATATTTGCAGGAGCTATCTTGGCATGTCTTTAGCAAGGACCTTGGGAGGACAGTATTGTAGTGAAGGAAGCCTCCCTTGTTCCTCTAGACCTGTTTTGAAACTAAGAAGTCAAAGACAATTTGCTTGTGAATCAAGTGTGAAGGTTTTTCTGTCTCTTTTGCTGAGTTAAATTCTTTGGTCCGTGCAGCGTGACATGTATCCTTCTGAAACTTTATTGAAGTAAATATTAACCTGAGCTACACAGTTACAGGTGTTAGAGACAGAGAAAGTGCATTGTATTATCTGGTAGCGTTGCTACCAGGGCAGTGTTCTTTGCTGCACCGGTACTGGTGTCCCATAGAAGGAATTTAGAACTGTATATGTTAATCATTGAAGATCTTAATCCCATTATTAACGATAGTGGTTGAGGATGAAGACTAATCATCTCTGCTCTCTCTTGATTCAGTGTTTTCACGCCTTAGATGTTTGTACAGTGCACTCCAGCAATCTTTAGTTGCTCATGGGTTTCTCATCAGTAATTGAATTGTTTATTTTGGTTAGTTCCTCTTGTACCATACCCAGAGCTCTAACTTGTTGATTTAACCCTTTAAAAATTTGCACATTGTATATTAAGTGTTGTCACGCATTTCAGCTTCCCTTCTCTTGTAGATTCTATTATATCCCCCTGTTTGCGTGTGTGTGTGTGTTTACATGCGTCTGAGCAGGGTTGGATGTGTTTGTGTCTTTTGAGTGAGCAGGTGCGGAGGAGGTAAAATTACACCTATAACATCGCATTGTAATGATTCGTCAAGAATCCGTACCTCTCTGTTTTGTGATTTGTTGAAAGATTTATTTTTATGTTGATGAAGTACTTGCTTGCTTATGTTTACTTTAAAAGCACCTTTTGATTTAATATTAAAAGCAACCACCTTGGAGTTGTTGTCTGTCTCATATACAGTGGTACACCATGCTGAAGATGAGCAGACTCTGCAACAGTAATGAGTCCTTTGGGACAAAACATGGCTAAATTGAGAAGAGCACACCACAATCAGCAGTGGGGTGTTTTTTGGCTAAAATCTGTCTTCACATGACTTTATCTTACTGTAATATTTTGCTGGTTATTGTTTAGGTGAATGATTCAGAAGCAGACTTAGCGAAAAAAGCATTATTCAGTCGCCACCCTGAAATGGAGAGTTGGCCTAAGGATCATAATTGGTTCTTTGCCAAATTCAACATCACCAATATTTGGGTCCTGGACTACTTTGGTGGGTTGAAGATTGTGACACCAGAAGACTATTACAGTGTCAAGCCTTAGTAAGTACTTAAGTTTTGCATACTTAACTCTCAATATATGTGGAACCTGTAAAATCCTTATTATTTACAGTGTACATTAGCTGTCTCTTTTTTTTTTGTAATACACATTTCTGCTTTTCCCTAAGTAGTCTACTGGATGCAGTGTCTGAAATCATCAGATATGTTTGAATAGGGTCTGAACAGTATCGAGTATAGTACCTGTAGAACTATCCGTGGTTAACTGCACTTGTACCTAAGCTTAAATACAGTTTCTTGGGAGGAATGACTCCAATAGAGTGGGCACAGTCACTGTCCTCTGTTTGAAATAATTGCAAGACAGATTATGTTTTGGTCTAGTGGTTAAAAGTAGTGAGACTACTCAGCATTTATGAAGCTGTATTAATGGGGTGGCAGCAATATTGCATAATGTTTTTGAAACAAAATTGCTTTTGAATCTGTCATTACGATACTGAAATATAGAGAAATTGTGTTCTCTTGTCTGCGTAAAACTAAGTCTTCAAAACTTTCAAATACGTTTTAGTGCAATCAACACTTATGCATTCAGTTTCACTCTTATTCTTACTCCTTGTAGGTGGAAGAAGAACCTTGGTGATGCTGACATACAAGTGAATTATTTTGGCTGTTTCATGAAAGATTTATTTTTTCTATGTTTTGTAGAGCTGAATTAATAATGCAAACAATCAAACACCTTGCATTGTTAATAAGCTTGTATAACCCTTCTGAAGCAAATGTAAATTCTCACTCACTAGCACAACTTGAATCTTGTCATACTCAAAAACCTTATTGCCTAAGTCGTAGCTAAATTTTATTCATCGGATGTGAGTCTGGAAAGATGTCTGTCTGTTGACAGTCTGCATTCAGAAAGGCCGTGTTTACTGGAAACTAAAGGATTAGTCCAGTTCTAAACCTTTCAGTGTCTTAGTTAAATAACATCTGTTTGTGAGCACTCTCCAAGTGTATTTTATTTTTAATACCGGTTTAGTTTAGATCTTTATGGTGAAGTACTGCAGGATGGCTCAGCTGACTGTGGAATGGAAAGCATTGCTTGTATTACAATGATAAGTGATATGCCAAGTTCCCAAATTCTGTTAAGAATCTTCTTTGCATGCTAATACACTCACTCGTTTGAGCCATTTTTCTATTTTGCTACCTATATTGAATGTGCTATAGAATACGACTGTGTTTATGCAAATTGTATGTATACCTCATGGTAAGTTCTTGGTAACTCTTCAGCTGGCAGTAGTTACATGCCCTAACTCTTTAATAGAAGAAGGTGGTAATATCTGAAGTATCTGACTTCAGTATAAGAAGAGTAGTGGGTTGTAAATTCAATGAGAATGTTGTAAAAAGCCAATATTTTCTGATTAGGATTCTGAAATCTTCAGCTTTGTAGTTCTGAGCAAATGGCAATGTATCAGCTTTTATTACCCCAAACAGTAGAACTGAGCAGATTTTTGGTTTTGTAAGCCTTACAGAGCAATTTTGGCTTAGTAACCCAGAAGTGAGAAGTATGACACAGATGATTCATGACTTGTAGAGAATGAGAATTAATGAAAGCTGTGCGTAATTAATTCCCTGTTGAAATAAGCTACACACAACCACAAAAAATAAATTAACACCTTTTTACATCCTCTTTCATCTCCCTTGTGCGAAGTTCACAAATACCCAAAAGTGATTATGAATAATTAAGTTGATTTTACAATGAGCAAATGTTACCTAGTTGACAAGAGTAAAAGATGTGAAAATTTAGACTCCTTAGAGGCAGATCCATATATAAAACAGTGAAATTCCTCACATCAGATCATCTGTACATCTTACTGTTATTACATCACTGATTTTCTTAAATACTGAAATGATTTGTGAAAGTATGTTTGACATAACTTATTCCTTCTCCACAAGGGGAAAAAAGGTACTTGTTACTGTATCAAACCCATTCTGTTCTACTGTTTGAATATTACTTTAGGATCAGAAGAACTTATGATATGGAAGCAATTTGTGTTGAACAGATAAAATTGGAAAATATTTTTATATAAGGCACAACAATTGTGGAAACTCAAATGATCCTCTGGTATGGACTCTGTCTTTACCGTGGAGACACCTGGATGCATTACATGTCACTCCATAACTTCTGATGTGTGAGACTGATGATACTGGGCTTTTGTTAAAATTAAAATATTTTTTGACAAATGGTGTTGAGTGTTGTTTATTGCATGTTCAAGAATACTTCTCTCCCTTGCCTGCTCTTTCACGCAAGCACCTTCTCTTCAAAGTTCCTTTTTTATTGTTGCTCTGGAGTCTTTCATGCTTGCTAGAATAAATAATGAAACACCCCTATTACACCTGGCTTTCCCTCCTTTGACGAAATAAGCATCTTTGTGTGTAACTTTCTTTTCTGCAACTAATACTATGACATGGAACATAAAATAATACCAGTGGAGTTTGTGAAAATGAATACAAGGAAACTTTATTTGGTTATTTCTTCCAGCTAGGGCTTCTGCATTTCTAAATGACTGTATCGCCAGCCGGCAGGGGTTCAGCCGTCCTCAGGAAAGCAGGGCTCCATCACACGTTAATGATTACTGAGGAAGATGCATGTCATCACTCTGAACATTCCCCCTTCCACCAGCTTTTACAGCTGAGCGATGTCCTGTGATCTGGGATGTCCCTCTGGTCAGCTGGGGTCGGCTGCCCTGGCTGTGTCCCCTCCCAACGTTCTGTGTAACCCCAGCCCCCTTGCTGGTGGGGCAGAGTGAGAAGCAGAAAAGGTCTTGATAACATACCACTGTTTTGGTTATTGTTTACACAACACTGTTTTCATTGCAAATTCAAAATATAGCCCCAGCAAGGCACTGTAAAAAAATTAACTCTATGCCAGGCAAAACCAGTACAACACCTTTAAAAGAATCACTTTCATTTGAAGGTTTGGTACAGAATAAAGCTTGTTTTGTTGTGTCTGGTGGGACTTGATGTTCCCACTAGTACTGATTCCCAAGTCTTTTCTAATTGGGAGTGGAAGGGCGCTTTTTTTGTAACAATTCACCTTAAACAGTTTCATGATGCTACTGCATTTTATTAGAACAATTTTAGATCTCTTTACATATGAACTTTGAGAGGATGCCATCCAGATGTTTCATTTGGAAAGTGGTGAACAACAGAATGGTTAAGATACATGTACAGAGCTGATTTGAGGGTTAATCGGAGAAGAGCTATCTGGAGTTGTTCTATCTATGCCTCTCATTGAATACTTTAGGATAAAAAGATTTTTTTGTATGTAGAAGTGGAATGTAAAGCAGACCAGGGTATCAATCATACTAAACATCTCTCTGGTTTTCTCCCTTAGTAATAGGTGTGTGAATGGTTATCACTAACTCAAGAAAGTCATCAGCTTTTGTACTATTTTTCCTCACCTTCTTTTCTTCTCCCTGTGCTCACTTTTGTTGCATTAGGCTCACTCAGGAATTCACTTGTGAGCATGTTTCCTTTTTTCCTAATATCCAGAAGTAATATTGTGCCTTAGAATAGAAGAGGCCAACTACAAGAAATTCATACAGCTGTAAACAATGAATCAGCATTTTGACTGCTGACTGTGTGTATCCTCTACGATGGCATGCGTGACATGTCTGAGCGTATTCTAAATAGTAACGAAGTCACGCTCCGTACCCAGGAAGCGAAGTATCTCCATTCATAGAGAAGAATCTGAGACACAGGATGACATTAGGCACCTCCCTAAGTCACAGGATGTTTGTTAGCTGGGAATCTAATTAGGATAATCTCAGCCTGTATCTAATGATATAGTCACGTTTTTCCTTTGTCTATTAATCTTGCTCATTGACAAGTTTGTGTTTCTACTTCTTGATTTTCAATTTCTTGGTTGTGTTTTAATGTAAGAGTTGTGCTCAGTAGCTTCTTGCGACATGCTACATCATTACAGAATAGAGCTTACATATGTCAGGTATTAGTTTAGTCCTTTATTCACAGAATCACAGAATGTTCGGGGTTGGAAGGGACCTCTGTGGGTCATCTAGTCCAACCCCCCTGC